CATCTCGTTTTCTTAGTTCGTTGGTTCAAAAAATTGCTTCCATAATCTTGGAGAGGGAAATCATTATTAGACATATCCCGAGGAGTTGCAATTGTGAGGCTGATTCTCTAGCTAAACAGGGGATTGGATGAATATTATTAAGTGTCATAGAGGTTTTCTAGCAGGTTCTTGGTCTATTGAGGCTGAAGGGGCTGGGAAAGTGTTGTTATTGTTTAAGGAAGGTTTGGTCGTTTAGGGAGTTTTGTTTAAATATTCTGTAATTTTTATGGCTTTGACAGTGTGTCTTGGTTGTATTTTATGTAATGAGTCCCTTATCAATAAAATCCTAAGGCACTCTTTTCCTCCCTCCAATGATTAAGGAACTTTCCCAAGAATTCCTTTAATCAAGAAGGGGGTTTTTAATGAGGCCTGTAATTTCTATCCAAAAAAAAATCGAATATTAGCCAAAGACCTTGTGACGCTTTCAAAAGTAATATTACACCCTAATTATACCTCATTTGGTTGGTTAGAGTAATAATATGACTAAAACTTATTTTAATATATTAGTACTAGAATACATGTGATAGCATCAGAGTTAAAATAGTTCAACGTTTGGTAGACAATTGTTAAACAAGCAAAGCTAAGGTACTACTTTATGGAATATTACTTTTGTCCTCATTTTATGGTAAGGTTCTCCTTTATTTTGATTTGAATCACTCCTCTTATAAAATTCTATCAGGGTATGCTAATGGAAGTTGGCAGAATATATCTGAAAATTTTACCTCGCATAAAGCTTCCATGGCAATAAAGCAGTCCTCTGCCTGAATCTCATGATCATGCTCTACATCCTTAACTGCAAACAAGTTGTCAGGTTGTTTAAAACTTGTAGGAACAATACTTCTCTGACACTAATAGCAGTGAGTTAGATTCATATAGAGTGTGTGCACAAAACATTATAGATCAGTGCAAACCTAACAAATTCTCACATAATATAAATATATAATATCTAAAAAATGCAATCGAATAGATTAACACCTTGAAGGCATTAAAATTATTAGTATAGAAAATGTAAGAACATATGCAGAGGATCTAAAAGCCTAGGCAGACGAAAATATTCCCCTTCAATTACTAGCATAATTTACATTTGGTTGATACAGTTAACGGCTTCAGGTGGAGAACTTCCAAATCTTTTTATTTAAAAAAGCACTTAATAAACTGAGTTTTAATAACAGGAATTACCGAGGCAAGAACAGTATTAAGAAGTTCTGAAACCTAATGAATAGAGAAGGAAAAAAGTGGATTTGGATTGAAACCCAAAATATAGTCCCTATAGACAAAATGTTTACCATTTAACCAATAAACTGGTGGGCTTTCAGGCTTGTCCCTCTCTTCTTTGCCTTTGTTATCAGCACTAACATCCAAAATTACTGCAACTCTGTCTCCGTTCATCTCATATACCTCCCCACGTTGACCACTACATAGGTTCCTGTGGACATCAAAGATAAGTAAAAGGGCCACAATATCAAAATTAGGATGTTTAAAACGGGAAATATACAGTTCTAACTTCGAGCACGGTTCCCACAAGATAGAAGTTGAAGCTTGGACTGCTAAGTGCATCAACTATCAAGATGTTTACTCTTTACTGAGAAAAATGAAGCAAAAGAGAACTATGCCAGACTAGAAGAAAGAACCATAAACACAGAAAACGCATCGCAGTTAGTATAACAATGGCCAAAGACAAAATAGATAAAAGAAATTCCAGAGAATCTAGTTTTTACATAATTTGCTACCAAGAATTTTGCACCTGATCAGACCACTAATCATATAAAAACCAAATACCTAAAATTTTCAAATAATTGAAAGAAAGACAACTCAAGATGTAACCACATCAAAATACCAGATATTCAACCATATCTTGTGTAGTCAAATTAGATGCTGCAACATCAAAATAGCACCTTCTTAGAGGAATTTTACGTTCTAAACATGTGACATGGATAACTACATATGGCATGTCTAGTTATCCATTCAACACTTGCATGATTAAGAAACCCCTAAACCTATTTACAGTTTTACCCCCAAAAAAAAGCCTAAAACTTCTGACGGGAAAATGATTCGACCACTTTCCCTCCATAAATGTCCACCTATCTACTATAGAATCTCTGATGAATTAAAGACTAATGTAACAATGTGCGTCCTTGAAAAGCTAAAAGTTCCGAAACCCCGCAGATTTAGTTGGAACTGCAATTAATAATAACAATAATAACAGTTAACAAGCCCTCAACTCAGTTAATCAAGAAAAGATAAGAAAAGAAATCAGAGAGCGTGTCAAAAAAGTGTAATTGCATAAAAATCTCACTCATAACGCACTCTTTTAGAAAATTAAAATAGATGTGGACAAAGAAATTTCCTCATATGTAGCCAATAATATCTATCAAACAATTGGCTGTCATCCACTTCGAAGGACACGGCATGAGTCAACAAAAGAATGTTCATATTATATGATGTTCCATGTACATATGGTTCGCGTCATGTTTTCCTTTATATTTGGTTCTCTATAAGGGGAACATTAATATGAACACTTTCTTATTCCAACAGTTTTTGGAGTTTCCTTTTTGTTCACCCATGATTTTGAAGCACAAAACAGCTGTCAATGGATTCATTATATCTAGATGAGTTTATACAGCCACAACTATGGAGCCAACCCATCCAGGGCCAAGATTAATATTACCATTCTGAAGCAAATAGTTTGAAGTCATCCTAATTAAGAATGAATTCAGGAGAAAAAGGATAATGATAAGACAAGATTCGAGCAGTAGTCAGAAAAAGGTCTGAGTTTTGAAGATATGCCGTATTGAAGATTGAGACAAGCATAGTTACTACTTGCCACAACTAAAAGAAGACGGGAAAACCCGCTAAAGAATGGAGGAGCCAATTTGTGAATGCAAAATAACTGAACCAAAAGTAACAAAAGAAAAGAACCACTGACATTCAAGTTTATAATCTACTAATGGTTTAGATCTCTTTTGGTTAGCAAACTTTATCTACCCACCAAGAAAACTACCCTCCATCATTTGCTCACTGGAAAACATTGTCGAAGATATAAGGACCAAACGGATCCTAAAATGAAAATGAACCATCACTAGAAAACACATTGTCAAGAAACCCCCAAGAAAAATAGGTTTAAGAGCTCTTCTTTTATACATCAGACTGACTTACCAACCCACCTGCCTCGAATACTCGTATAAACATTAGTTGGACCGTCAGATGTTCGTATCTTCCCCAATATGATCCTGTGATGGATATATATGTCAAAATTGTAGGAGGGCAAAATGGAATTTCATGGAAAGGATGAATTTTAGGGGTGTTTCCAGCAAGTAGAAATCAGCTATGACACTCCTAGAGGCATGGTTATTACCAATCATTATATACAACTAACTAGTAGCTCAAACAATTTGATTTCAACAAACATAAACAGGTAACCCTTGATTCTTCAAAGGAGAGAGAGATTCCAAACAGGGCGTATCATGAGACTGGCCATTAAGGCATCTTATCAGCAGACAATTACTGCTCAGAAATCTTTCCATCATTTGGAAACCCATAATAAACAATCATAAAAAGGAAGACACAACAAAAACAATAAAAATAATAATATAAAAAATAAAAACAGAAAACTGGTAAGGGATCCATCACCAGCATAGCAACATCCAAAACTGCCTAACTAGAGTCGCACCATTTTCAATTCTTTCACAAATCAAACATAGTTGAAATTGCTAAGTGGAGAACAAGGCAGAATCTAAGAAATCTAGCATATAGATGGACATGGTAGATAAAAAAACAATGTACAGGTAAAATTAATCCATTTCTAACCTCTTGCTAGCTTCACTCTGCATGTTACGTCCAATATATTTCACACGGTCCCCTAAAAAGGAAGAAAAATTAGTTAGAAGAATGAATTCACATGCTCAAGCATATTATGCAGTCCACCCACTTATGATATGTGAACATGCATGTACACTGTAACAACCTAAACTTTTCTTGCCAGTTAACTTTCACAATGATCTGTGGTAGATAAGGAGTGAGGGAGGATAAACGACCAATTACTTAGAGCATTACTAAACACTTTGCATCCAACCGAAAAAATGGGCAATAGGTGGAGGGGCCCAACTTTTAATATAGGACCACACTAAACCCAATATTTCACTGATGTGAGATAACACACTTAAAATATGCCAAAACAGAAAGAACAAAAAATGATTTGCAAAAACAACTACCAGGATATACATAAATACCACTTCAAAAGTGTTTGACATAAATGTGTTCGCCTTATAACATTCGACATATCAATGCCATATATTTGTTTTATTTTTTTTACTTTCCTTGTTGAAGGACTTTCTTAAAACCAGACCAGGGCATTCTATTTTTTTTCCAATTTCTAGCAATAAGTAACCTCAGTCAAAGTTTATAGAGCAATTTCTAATAGATAGTTTTCCATGTTATCATTTAAATCAAATACAGCAGGAATACTGAGGGAAGTGGCACCTTCTATTTTGAAAGCACATTTTAGAATAAATGGAACTTCCACACACATATTTAACACACAATTGCAAATATAGCAAGTTGAAACTAGTTACCTTTCTTTAGCAGATGCTTGGATTTATCAGCAGATACATCAGCCTCAGCTTTTGAGGATTCTGAGGAACTCTCAGATTCTCCAGAGACTCTCTTCCAAGATGTAAATACATAAAAAGAAAGAGTTATAAAAAAACCACCCCCTAAAACAAGTTTTACAAATGCACAAGAAATGAAAGACTCCATGAAAGACATAACACACAAATACTAAGCTTTAAGCTAATTGGTGATGAGTCCTTTTAAACACATTGAATACCAGATTCAAGCCTTCCTTCTTTCTACCCCCTTTCACCAAGTACTATAATCTTTCAATCACAGTAATCTCATAAAGTAATGCATGTATTTTTCAGCTCTGCAGCCTCAAAGATTCCAAGGCCGGATACAGACAAGCACCAAAACCATTCCAAAAAAGGTTTACCTTAATTTTATAGAGATAACCTAGTGTAGGAATTATAGAAATGAGCTGTAAAGAGATTCTGTAATTATTTTCTGTTTTTCAATCCCTTATTTCAAGGGATTACATCTCCTAGGATTAATATCTTTCCTAGCTTAGAGTTTCTTAGTTTAGAGGCATAATTTGTATATAAATATGTAATATGTTTCTACTGAAAGTATGCAAGAATAAAATAACAGACTTGTCTGTTCCTACAGTCTGTTTTCTACAATACAGTCTGTTTTCTTTCTACAGTCTGTTTTCTACATGGTACCAAGTTAGAGCGATCAATCAGATTTCCGCTTCTCTTTAAATCAATTCCTGTTCAACTCTATTTTTTTCATGGCTAATCGGGATCCCTCAGCATCCGAAATCACTTCCCAGACCAACCCCTCTCAATCTGTTTTTCAGATTTCAGATTTTCAGTGCAGCAGAAGCAAAATCGCCTATGGTGTGAACATTGTAAGAAACCAGGCCATATGATAGATCAATGTTGGAAGCTACACGGAAACCAGCCGACTGGCAACCCACACGGTCCAGGTTTCAAAAGGAGGCCCATATTCCCTCTCAAGATGATTCCTCAAGCAGTTTTAGCAAGAAACAGATAGAGGAGCTTCAGCAGATTTTGAGCAGTATGACAACCAAGCCTACCAATGTGACTTATACTGCTATTGATGGAAATAATCCATATGCTTTCTCGATACAATGGATAATAGACTCGGGTGCATCAGATCATATGACAGGAAATATTGATCTCTTGGAGGAATATAATGAAAGCAGTTTACCAGCTTCTATCAAAATAGCAGATGGCTCTCTCACTACAGTCAAAGGGAGTGGTTCTGTTACATTAAACAAAAATCTAATACTTCATAATGTCCTCTATGTTCCTAGACTTGCATGCAATCTGTTGTCAGTCAGCAAATTAATTAAAGATTCTGGTTGTAATGTTGTGTTTAGTACTGGTGGTTGCATTTTCCAGGCACAGGACTCGAAGAGGGTGATTGGCAGTGCTAGGCTGGGCAAAGGATTGTACACCCTTGGAGGTAAAGCATCTCATAATCATGCCTTATCCAGTGCTCTTAGGAAACCAATTTTATCTTCTGATCTCAATACCGATAAAATTATGTTATGGCACTCTAGATTAGGTCATCCTAATTTTTACTCTTTCCAAAATGTTACCGAACTTATTTATAAATAAAGATCCATCCTTGTTTTCCTGTGAAATTTGTCAAATAGCCAAACACACCATAAAACCATATATTGCAACCAAATTTGAACCAACAACACCTTTTTCCATCATCCATAGTGACATTTGGGGCCCTTCTCCTGTCAAAAATATTTCTGGGTATAAGTGGTTTGTGTCTTTTATAGATGATTACTCTAAGACAACATGGGTATTCTTAATGAGAGAAAAGTCTGAGGTTAAGTCTCTTTTTAAAAGTTTTTATCAAAATGTTGAAATCCAATTTGACACAAAAATAAAAAATCTGAGTGACAATGGGAGTGAGTATTTGAATAAAACTCTTGGGTATTTCTTTAAGGAAAAAGGCATTGTTCACCTTACGTCTTGTGTCAACACACCTCAACAAAACGGGATAGCAGAAAGGAAAAATAGACATCTTCTAGAGGTTACTAGGTCTCTTCTGTTTGCTGCTAATGCTCCTAAGTATCTTTGGGGGGAATCTCTTCTTACAGCCACATACCTCATCAATAGAATGCTAAGTAAGACTTTAGATTTCAAAATTCCTACTAAGGTTGTGTTTCAGCTTTTTCCCCATTTTAAACATTTAAACTCAAGTCTTTCTCCTCGGGTGTTTAGGTGTACAGCCTTTGTTCATATCCACAACAGAGGGAAATTAGATCCTAGGTCCATAAAGTGTGTTCTTGGGCTATTCTTCGAGTCAGAAGGGTTACAAGTGTTACTCACCTTCCACACAAAAAAACGTCTCCTTTGATGTTACATTTTTTGAAAACCAACCTTATTTTTCGGGAACAGAAATTCAGAGGGAGAGTTACAAGGAATTTCAGCCTATTCAAACCAATATTTCTTTACAGACTATCCTTTCTTTACCTATTACTGTCTCTCCAAAGCCGGCTAGCACTGTCCCAATTCCTAGTGAGGGTGATGGGAATAACCTAAATAACTCTGATGAATTACCTTTCTCCTTATCTCAGAACTCTAGTCCGTGCAAAACACCTTCCACCACTACCAAAAATGCACCTAATAATGACCCTGAAACCATAACTCTCCATCCGAAACAACTTAGTGTTTACTCAAGAAGAAGGAAATATGTTGCTGAAGAAATCAGTCAGCCTAGCATTCGCCAAGAACCAGATTCGGATTCTGTTGCCTCTGAAAGCCAAGAACCAGATTCGAATCCTGATACATCTGAAACAGAAGGTAATGATGGTTACCAAGAGGCTACTACTATAAATCTTGATGACTTTCCTATTGCTATTAGGAAGGGGGTAAGAAAATGCACTGCTCATCCCATAAATAAGTATGTTGCATATGGGAAATTACAGTCTAATTTCAGGGCCTTCACTGCCAGCATTAACAGTGTGAAAATCCCAAGAAATGTGACAGAAGCATTTCAATTTCCTGAGTAGAAAAAGGCTGTGGAAGAGGAGATAAAAGCGTTGCAAAAGAATAAGACATAGAGTTTGACAGATTTGCCAGAAGGGAAGAGAGCTGTTGGATGTCGATGGATATTCACAGTCAAATATCATTCAGATGGGAGTGTGGAAAGATACAAGGCAAGGCTGATTGCTAAAGGTTTTTCTCAGTCCTATGGCATCGACTACCAGGAGACTTTTGCATCGGTTGCAAAATTGAATACTATCATAATATTGTTATCAGTAGTTGTTAACATGGACTGGAAATTGCATCAGCTGGACATAAAGAATGCTTTTCTGAATGGGAACCTTGAAGAAGAGGTATACATGGAGGTCACCCCCGGATTAGAAGGAAAGGTCACTAAGAAAATTGTGTGCAAGCTCAATAAATCCTTATATGGCTTAAAACAGTCTCCCAGGGCTTGGTTTGATTGATTGGCTAAGGCTATGACACAGAATGGTTTCAAACAAAGCCAAGCGGATCACACATTATTCAGAAAAATTACACCGAGTGATAAGATAACCCTCCTAATTGTCTATGTAGATGATATGATTATAACTGGCAGTGATATAGAAGAAATAGAAAAGCTAAAGATGAATCTTGTAAAGGAGTTTGAAACCAAGGATTTAGGGAGTATGAGGTATTTCTTGGGTATGGGAGTTGCAAGGTTCGAAGAAGGGCTGGTCATAAACCAGCGTAAGTATGTTTTGGATCTTCTTGCAGAAACAAGGATGCTCGACTGCAAACCAGTTGAAACTCCAATGGAGCCAGGCTTGAAATTTTGCAAGGACCGGACTGGAAATCCAATAAACAAGGAAACCTACCAAAGGCTAGTTGGGAAGTTGATCCACCTTTCACTGACAGGTCTGATATTGCACACTCAGTGAGCATTGTCAGCCAACATATGAGTGATCCTCAAGAAGAGCATTTGGAAGCTGTTAACAGAATTCTAAGGTTCTTGAAGTTTACCCCAGGAGCTGGACTTATATTTAGAAAAAATCAAGACAAACAGTGAAGGTTTATACGGATGCAAGCTGGGGAGGTGAATTAACTGATAGAAGGTCAGTTAGTGGCTATTGTGTCTACGTTTGGGGTAATTTGGTGACTTGGAGAAGTAAGAAACAAGCCGTTGTCTCTCGAAGTAGTGCTGAGTCAGAGTTTAGAGCAATGGCTCTCGGAATATGTGAAGGAATGTGGATTAAAAGATTGCTCACAGAACTGGACTTAGATGACAAGAAGAATTTTGAGAATTTTAGTGACAGTCAATCAGCTATGAGTATAGCAAAAAAGCCCAGTGCAGCATGATAGAACGAAACACATTGAGATAGACAGACATTTTATTTACGAGAAGGTCAACAATGGAGTTGCACAACTGCAGTACATTCCGACGAAGAAACAGCTTGCAAATATCTTCACCAAAGCCCTTCCACGAGTGACTTTTGATGAGTTGTTTTTGATGAGCTGTCATTCAAACTGGGTATATACAACATATATACACCAGTTTGAGGGGGAGTGTAGGAATTATAGAAATGAGCTGTCAAGAGATTCTGTAATTATTTTCTGTTTTTCAATCCCTTATTTCAAGGGATTACATCTCCTAGGATTAGTATCTTTCCTAACTTAGAGTTTCCTAGTTTAGAGACATAATTTGTATATAAATATTTAATATATTTCTACTGAAAGTATGCAAGAATAAAATAACAGACTTGTCTATTTCCTACAGCCTGTTTTCTACAATACAGTCTGTTTTCTACAATACAGTCTGTTTTCTTTCTACAGTCTGTTTTCTACACCTGGATCCACTTTGCCAAGTCCAGGTTAACACTCATCACTCATAAACCATAGGGAAAATGAGTACAAGCATTTCCATAGCCTAGATTTCTGGTTTCCAATTTCCCAAGAGTTTGCGAGTTAAAGAATGAACATAAAATGAAGGGTCAGACCAGAAGCCAATTAGAAAGGTTACCATTTTGAGATTAATAGATACACAAACCTAATATAATAATGAGAAAAATCATCTTAAACTACAAAACAAATGCCCTCATTCTTTCAAACCGCATGAACCTGTCCAACACGACTCCTAAGCCCATTAGTCTGTTAACATTTTTAATTATGCCTTTCCCAACAATTCCTTTTTTCAAAGTAACCTTAAGAAGGTAATGACATGATATGCAAGTAACATTCTCAATAAAAACCTTGAAAATATACCTTCTCAAACTCTTCCAGGCTGTAGGGAACAAGTTTCTTGAGAGCTGCTTCAGCAGTTGCCTGCACTTCATCCACTTCACTGCAGTTTGTCTCATTGCTGCTTGTCCAGTCTTCCTCATTACTGGCATCGTTCTCATCCTCAATATCTGATTCTGAAGTGCCCTCTACTGCAGATTCCAAATTATCCTCATCTGATTCAGACTCAGATGAGCAATCGTCACCAAAATCCTGAAAGAAAGATGAACAGATAAAAAAACCCATTTTGGAGATAATTAAAGGAGAAAACAAAGTTTGAATTTCTAAGTCATGTAAAGCTCACATATGGAGCAAGAACGCTGCTATCAAGAACCAGAAGTGGCACTTGTAACTCCCGCGCCAGTGCCCTAACCACTCTCTCTCGATAAAGTTCAGTGCCTAGAGAGATAGCAAGACTTCAAAATCATTAGAATGAAAAATATATGTTCATGTAAAATCAAAGATTAGAAGGAAAAAGGAATGAATAATACAAGGAAAAATACATTGAAGAAAATAATTTATGTCATTGTCAGGTGAATACCTGGGACACTTTGAAGCAATATTCTCCCACTCGAAGATGGCAATTGAGCACCATAAGAAGCAGTGAGCTCCTTATGTTTCAAATGTGAAGAAACACATTCAACCAAAATATTTTTGGTATTCTCACTACAGAGAAAAAAACATAGTAAATTGTTAACAGCGATAAAATTTAAAAAATAAAAAGGAATGCAAAGAAGAAAAATGGGGGGGGGGGAATGCAATAACATTTACTGAATGTGATAAGGAAATGTTTCCCAGGAAATATGAATTTTCTCCCAAGGCAGAACTCTGCGCAAGAACTCGTTTTTAAACTTCTCACGCCTGGTCAAAAATGGCGATTCCTTCTTCTTGCTCTCTATAGAAAGTTTTTCATTATTGAGCCATTCCTTCTGATCTTGTTCCCCAAGCTGAGCATGTATATCACAAGGCTTCACATCCTTCCCAAACTTTTCCTGCCGAGACTTCCCCTTATCAAAGTTAGTCCCATCATTCACAGGTCTATAGTTATCCTCGCTAGCATTCCTTCCATCACCCTTAGAGCTATACAAACGCAACTGATGGCTACTTAAAGATGGAGCAGACCTTCCATACATAAATGCAGGAGCAATACCTCGAGTATAAGATGAATCTAAAACACTTTTTCTAATCAAATGAACATCTGAACAACCAGTCCGCACAGCATATGGGCAGTTCAAAGATCGATAACAAGCATTATCTTGGGAATGTGGCCTAATCAAATGTTTCCACTGTTGAAACACCAGACTCCATCTCTGTCTTCTACCCTTTATCCTCCTTGCATACATTGTGACCACCAGCTATTCTAAAAACCTGTCATGCAAAGTAAGCTTCCATCACTTGATATACACTCCAAGTATCAATTTAACTACAAAAGATAAATAAAGAAAGAATGGTCATCATATAACCAGGGCGAAAAAACACTATCTAAGAAACATTGCCCATCTCCATTTCAAACAACAAGATTTTCATAATTTCGAAACCATTGATTGCTATTTTGTCACCAGTAAAAAGCTACTTCATATCCGAAATAAATTAGAAAAGCGTTTTCCAAGAACAAGTCCCGCAATAGCAAACCAAAATTGCGAAAATTTTAAGCTTACTTGTACAAAAAAACCTTTAAGCTGACTTTTTTTAAAAAAAAGAACCTTTTAAGCTGTGAGAAAAATTGGTATTTCCAGGAGAAAAAACAACCCATCGAAGAGATAGTTTCCCAATCGAATCGAAACCTTGTAAAATAAACAAGTTAGCTTCCCAAAATCGTCCGCTCTCTAAGCTTTCTCCATAACCAAACGCAGGAGCGCAACTCCAATACTAATAGTCATATATAATCTGAAAACTATAATAAAATTGGAAAGAAGAAAGAGATAAAACAAGCAACAAACCCGTTCGTTATTAATGTTAGAAGCAAAGTTAAAGCGAGGATTGTCGTCCAATGGACATGATATAGGGGGCAACAAAAAGGGGCTTTCTTAGAAACAGGGAGAAGGAGAAGGCGAAGGCGAAGGAAAGTGCGAGAAGAGCGTTGGTAATAAAAGAAAGAGAGAGATAAAGATCTGGTGAAGTGACTGCGAGTGAAGGAATAAACAACTGCAGTTCTATGATAAAGTTCGGCTTTAGCGTTTGGGAGATCCAAAAGCGTAGGTTTGGGGGTGACAGTGAGTCAGATTTTTTTTTAGGTTGGATTCTAACAAAATTTGGGCTATCCATATGAGCCATATTTTTAACTCAGTCTGAGTGGACTCATCCCCTTTTGAGTCCAACTTATGGCCCAAGTACAATATGCCTGACACCACTATTGTATTTCCCTTAATATGTAGGGTAAACTATGGTACCTAAATTATTACTTTTATTCTGTTTTGATATCTAAATTTTATTTTTATTTCAAAATCTTATCTAACGTTTAGTTTAGGTTTCAATTTGGTATCCACCGCTAATAAATTAACATAATTGTTGATGTGTCATATTTCTATTTTTTTAATAAAGACATGACATTACCTTATGATTATACGATTATATCACCGTTAAGTTTTTAACGATGAGATATCAAATTGAAACATAAACTAAACGTGAGGTAAAATATAAAATATTATACGTAAAACATCAATCTTGTATAACTTTACACATGAATTTTTCGACTTACTTTAAATCATCACAAAAAGCTAGTAATATTGTTGACGTAATGTATACATATTGTATACATAAATAGTTATAACCTACATATCATCGAATTCATAACAACATATATTATTTATACATATCCAAACTTCTATTACATCCACCTAACTCCATCTTTTTCCTTTGAATTGTAAGCCCTAACTTGATCTTGGGATTCGACTATCACACATATGCAATCGAAAGATATATTTAACAATCAATCATCATTTTTCAGAAGTAAAATGAAAACTATCAAAGATTATGGAATTAAGGTTTTCACCTTTCTCACATTGCTTGTTATATTAAGCCAACCACAATTCTAAAATATTCTCTTTACTAAGGCAATTACTTGACCTAAATACTCATCAAGCCCCATTATCTTATTTTTGGTCCAATTACTATTGAAGGACCCTAACTTTCATTTCACTTTATTTGATTAATATTCAAACACAACAATGTCATTTCAATTATTAATTCAATAAACAAAAAGGATAACAAGACAATTACTTGACCTAAATCAACAAAGTTCAAATCTCAAATATTATAATAAATAAATAAAAACTACTATGATCTCTATAGTCTATTCTTACACAGAAGGGTTTTTGCCCTTCTAGGTTTTTTTGCTTCTGGTTTGATTTGTGGGTTGTTGTTTCAGGTGTTGATTCCTTGTTTCATAATGGGAGACGTTGAGCAACAATTGGATGTGCTATAGTTGGGGGAAGAAGAGGATGAAGCGTTGCCTCTGAACATTTCTAAAAAGGTGGTTGGATTATCGATTGAGAATTGGTTTGTTGGTTTTTTTCATACGTCTAGCATGATCAATTTCCAAGTGATGTGTACTACGCTAGCTAATATATGGCACCCCATTGGGGGATTTCCATATCGGATTTGGGGGAGGGTGATTCCTTTTTCGTTTATATCACGTCGGTGATGTAGACCGTATTGAGATGGAAGACCCTTGGTATTTCAATGCCCATTTACTGGTTCTGTATAGTTGAAGGGGAGAGAGGACCCAATGCTTGTTCATTTGCAAACTGTTGATTTTTTTGTCCAAATTAAAGAGTTACCAGCATGTTATATTTATGAGGTTGTGGCTCATCAGTTGGGAAACTTATCGGTATTTTCTTTTCATATGATGCATCGGCTATTTCGATGGGTTATAGGGGATGCATTCAGGTTCAGGTTCGGCTTGATATCCACTATCCGCTTAAACGTAAGAAGAAATTAGCATTGTCTAATGGTAAACATGTGTATGCACTATTTCAGTATGAGAAATTACGTCTTTTTTGTTTTCTATGTGGCAAGCTGGGCCACAGTGAGGGCTTTTGCCCTTTGCATATATTACAAGAGAAGAAATAGGTCATTTATCAGTGGGATGTGTTTCTTTGGTAACCTCCAAGACAAAGGGGGATTCCTACAAGCCCTTGGCTACGTGACGAGGGGGAACCGATCAGGAAGGAACACACTGAATGAGGTAAGAGTTGTGTGGTTTCATCGACGAGGTTTTATGAGAGATAACAGGGGGCTATGGCTTATATGAATCAGTACTTTGCGAGTGCCCCTCCGACTTATGAGGAACATATTAATATAGCGGCTCAGCAAACGGTTGATGATGTTGTTATGACAGGAGTGGAGGAAAATTGTCCCATAGAAAAGATGGATAGCTCTAAATGTAAGCGTCATTCTCCTAAGCATGGGGTGAGTTATGGTAACCAAAATTTAAAAGGAGAAAACATTATTCCAGCAGCATGTCTGTACACTCAGGCCAACCGATCGCAATGAAGTTTTTTAGTTGGAATATTCGGGGTTTGGGGAAGCCTCAGGTGGTGAAGCGTCTTCGCCATACGTTATGAGACGTTAACCCGAATGTAGTTTTCTTGACTGAAACGAAACTATAAGGTTCAAGTATAGAAGAGTTCGTCGGTTATGTGGATATTTGAATGGTATTGATGTTATCTCGCGTGGTAGTTGTGGTGGCTTGTGTATGGCGTGGC